TTCCTTTAATTTAGGGGGGGGGGGGTTAAAACACTAATACGAAATATAATCGTATTTCTTTCTGACACACATACAACTTTTTATTAAAATAACTAAATAAAGTAAATAAATGAATTTTAAAAAATGACAATACTTGAAACATTTCCTTGCACAACTATGCTAGATGAGATCATTTTTACTTTATTGAAAATCACTAAATCTATTTATCAGTGAAATTCATCACTGTAACACACACATAAAACATCAAATATTTTACCTTTCTGCCGTAGATGCATGTTGATCCTTGGATTAAAAGTGCAGCCTCTGCAAAGTTCATCATGGTTTTCCCACCATCAAATGAAATGGTCATCAGGTCCAGCTGTCAACACAGACAACAGCAACAACATGATACTTAGGCTAGAAAATGAAGCTTTAAATGAATTATGGTGCTTCATGATCAGTCCGTCTGTTCTTTTCCCACCTCCTCAAGATACTCTCCAAGCTGGCTGGCCAGGTCAATGTCCCAGTTCTTGGTGAGGTCTCGCAGGGGCTGCAGCAGATGGGCATATCTCGTCTCTGCAGAATCCATGACCATGTATTTCCAAAATACCCTGAAAATAATATTTCAAATAATTTATAATTCACACTTATAATTAATTACCATCCACCAAATATATATTAAGAATGATTTAAGACAACACTGCTTAATTCTGAAAAGAAAAAATTGGCATGTTGTATTTGATTTAATAAGCTGTGTTTTACTATGATACTGTACTGTACAGTCAAAGATAAAACCAAGTTTAAGTTAACTCGCACCCGAAAGAAACAATTATGTCGTTGTTACTGAATCACAGTTAACGTTAAGTGATTTGCTAGCTGTCTAGTAACTAACGGTACACGCATAATAATTGGATCTGTATATGAACATTACCATTAAATGTAAAGTGGTTTTATAACCAATCTGAATCACTGTTAAAATGTAAGCTATATTTAATTTAAACCGGTTAAACAGCAGTAACAGCACTGAAGCTCCAGCGCGACGATCACATAACGTTATAACTTAAATATCAATATGCTCACCTTTAGTATGCGAATAAGCAGCGGTTGCTGGATAAAAAATAATCTCTTGCTTGTGTATATCGAAAACGTACGGCTTCTGTCTCTAAATTGTGCAGAAAAATAAAATCTACTCTTTGGGGAAATTCCGCGCGTACGTCGTTGTTTGTTTTTGCCGCGTGCGTGACGTGACACCGGAGTCACTGGGCATCTAGTGGACCGCTGCCCTCTGCCGGCCTGGAGGCGGATCGTCTGTATCCTCTATGATCAGGGTTCCTCAAATCTTGCCCTGGAGGTCCAATGCGCTGCAGAGTTTAGCTCCTACCCTGATCAAACTCAGCTACCTGTGATTTACTAATGATCCTGAAGACATTGATTAGCATGCTCAGGTGTGTTTGATTAGGGTTAGAGCTAAACTCTGCAGGAAAGTGGATCTCGTGGGCCAGATTTGAGGATCCCTGCTCTATGTTTTCAAAGAGTCTAGTGAAAGTCTCAGGAAGACCACAGTTAACTCATCTGGGCTTCATTAGGATATGCTTTATTTGTATATAATGCATAGTAAAAAAAAATACAGAGGGAGCTTACATATAAGGTCAGACAATTTAACGAAAACATAAGTCAAATGGTTTATAAAAAAATAAAATAGTAACAAATCTTTGCAGTTCACAAGAACTTTTTAATTTAATTAATTAATTTATTTTCTATCTAGCGGGAAAACTAACGTAAACTTTACATCATCCAGAAGAGGTCGCTATAAGGCAGACAGACAAAAAAAAATTCAGCTCAACCCCAGAGATGTATAACCAAGATAAAAGTGAACAATTACAGTACAAAATATTAAGATTATTGAATGATTATATTTCATAGCATTTCATTCATTTTGTTCTAAAAGGTTTTTTTATTGGTTTTTAAATGTGTTACAAATTAATTCAACACAATCCCTCAACCCTGACCTAATATTCCCCACAATTTACATTTACATTTAGATATTTAGCAGACGCTTTTATCCAAAGCGACTTACAAATGAGGACAATGGAAGCAATCAAAATCAACAAAAGAGCAATGATAAGCAAGTGCTATAACAAGTCTCAGTTAGCTTAATGCAGTACACGTAGCAAGTTTTTTTTTTAAATCATATAATAAAAAAAAGAAAAAAGAATAGAGCAAGCTAGTGTTAGAGGCCTTTTTTGCTTTTGTTAATCAGAAGCAGTCAGAAGTCAGAATTATAATTGTATAATAAATAAAAAGAAAACAAATAGATAGAATGCAAAAAGACTAGAGAAGGCTCAAAGGCTCCCGTCGAGCAGCCAGAGGTGCAGGGCCCATAGGTCGGGTCGAGGATGCCATATTGTCCCGTTCGCTTGAGAGAGGAGATCCTGTCTCAGCGGAACAGGCCAAGGGGCCGCTATCAATAGCTGAGTTAGCTCCGATAGCCACAGCTGGTTCATCCAAAGGGGGGCCACCAGGAGAACCCTGTGTT